AGAGAGGAGGCCTGGAGTGAGTAGCTCGTCTCTACAGCCTGATGTCTGCTCAGCTTTGGCTGAGCCCAAGGCTTTATGGGTCTCAGAGGGGAGGAAGTATGTACCAGTTGGTCTGTGGGTGGCCATGGATACATCCAGAAAAGGCACCACAAGTTCCCACTTCCATTGTGGGAGTAGCAGCCTGGTCCCCAGTCAGGCCCTCTCTGACCTGAAGGTGGGACATCTCCAGGGACCCCCCTCCTTTTACCCAGGAGCCTGTCTGCGTCCCAGTGCCATTCATGGGTGCCACGGGACAGCTGCAGGCCAGTGCCAAGCTTCCCTCAGCCCCCCATCAGCTTGTCCCTATGCTCATTGCTGCCCAAAGTCCCGAGGGGACTGAGGTGGCAGGAGGCTGGCATATCAGCACTGCCCTGAGCATCTACACACCTGGCCAGGCTGTAACAGAGCCTTGGCTCAGCCCTGAGTTTACTCTGAGACTGAAGTAGGCACAGACAACAGGAAGAGCCAGGCAGTGGAAGCAGGCATTTCCAAGGCTGCAAGGGCAGGGGAGATTTACTAGGTCCCCAAGAGTGCAGGTATGTGTGGGTCTGCAGCCACGATTTGGTCACCTGCAGCTGCACAAGGGCACAGGTCTGCAGCCATGGTTTGGGTGGCTGCAGCTGTAACCCAGCAGGGAAGGACTCCTGCCTGCTCCATGGATCCAGGGGTCATGGTCCACTGCTACAGCTTGGATGGCTGCAGCTGCACCCAGGAAGCTCCCAACCCACTAATTTGGAAGGGGTGGGGATCCCACTTGCCCTCACTCCCCGCTGACTCCACAGAGTGTGCAGCCTGGGCTGCACCTCCCTGCTGCGGCTGGCGTGATGGCAGCAGCCGTTCCAGACAGGCCGCCACTGCCATCAATTTGTGTATCTTTTCATAGCACTTTCTTTGATATTCTCTAGCAATATGAAGAAAACAAGAGTGGAGGTTATGAAATAAACAAAGAAAACCTAGTTCATGTGGTCCAGACAAGCATGGATATTACCTATGAAAGCAGAGAGAGTGCAGGGTAAGAGTTTTTGACCAGGTGGTTCTAATCTCAGATTGAAGCAGATATACAGCACTTTAGGAATGATATATTTTAGGGAAAAGGCCTTATGTAATATAGAATTTGTGTGTGTGTGTGTGTGTGTGTGTGTGTGTGTGTGTGTCTTTACATATGCATAAAATGAATTGAAACTATGGTGAAGATTTTTGTTGTTTTGGTTTCATTGGCCAGGTGGGAAAAGGAAAGGCCACTGGAGTCCAGGAAGAGCCAAATTACATATAAGAAAATCTTGATCCAAGTATGAATCAAATCAAGACCTGGAATAATTTGAAGCAAAGGAGTATAAGAAAGTCAGTATCTTTATCTTACCTTGAAAATTATGTCTATGTTAACTGAGGTTGAGGGAACAAAAATACAGCTGTAAGAATATTATTCAAAGTTTTATTTTAAAAATGATAATAATACACATATTGAACTCGAGAGGATGATTGTTATTATTATACATTTATATGTCCTCTAATTTAATTATATATCTATATTCTATAATAAACATATTAATTTATGCACAGTATGGAAAAGCAATTGTTTGCTTTTTATGTTGCTTTATCCCTTATATGACACTTTATTTAAAAGCAATATTCTTCTATTATTAATGTTTTGGTGATGGAGGATGGTTCCACTTATAATTGCTAAGAATTTTTAATTCACTTCATTATCAAAAGAGGAAAATAAACAAATAAAAGATGACAGTTAAAAATCAAGGCAGATTTAAACCCTAAAATTAATTCTTAAAAAGATTTAAAAGCCAGGGAAAATAGGTAAGAAATAATTTGCAACAAATATGAATTCCCAAGCAGTCAATACATCTTATACTAGGCAATTCATTGTGAAATGTTTAACTTATTTCAAGGAAAAGAAACCTCAACAATTATTTTAATAACAGATGACTTTCATTATCTAATTATAAACGCGATCTCTTTGTTGCTATCTTTAATCTATTTTCAAAAGTAATGTTGAGACTATTTCCCATTAAAAATGGATTATTTGAAAAATCTACACTGTAAAATATATTTGCATTTGCACAGTCAATTGTGGTTGTATGATGACAGCTTTGTATCTATCTGTAGTAAAATTTACAGTTTTATTCGAATGGCTGCATGAGACACATTTGTAATATTAAGGCACACATATGTTAGGAATATAATTGGAAAAACTCTACAGAAACCTAACCTGTGCTTCATTGTGATATGTGTCATTTAGGTTCTCTGTGACATGCTTTGTGCTCTACAGCTTAACAGAGATGTGGGACACCTGGAGGGTCAATGAAAAGGATTAAAAGATGGACAAGATAATGATTGGAAAGAGAAATTGGGATTTAGTTTGGCAAAAAAAAAAAAAAAAAAAGAGAATAACTAGTCACTTCCGCTATTTTAACTGGGTTACCTTGTATAAATCACAATGGAGGCTTAGTTTCTCCATCCTTAAAATTAATGGACTATTTTAGAATATCTTTAAGATCATTTCCACATCTAAATTGTATAATTGTCAGGAAGACAAGCACAGAAAAGGTATTCTCTTAAAATAGCTTAAATTGAAGCAAGAGAAATTTAAACTAGATATTGTAAGGAAAAAAAAAAGCAACTCTTAAGATTCTTCTGAAAGAATCTTTTCTTCCTATGGATTTAAAAAAAATAGGAAGCTAATTTGTGTGGAAAAAGTATTTCTGTACTTGTATATTGGGAGAGAATGGGAATATCTATTTTAAAAAATTAACAATCTTAAAAATCTAAGTTTTGAAAAACAAAGTCAGCCATACCTTTACTCATGCTACCACTTGCTCTAGCCACTCCCGACTCACCAACATTTTCATCATCCTAAATATTATTTGTAGGCACCGCCCCCTTCACAGGGCCTTTGCACATGCTGTTCCTTTGGGTTGGAACACTTTTCCATCCCCCTTTAAGCCTAATCATCGTAAAGATATCTGTTTAAACATGCTTTCCCCAAGGACATTCCTTAAATTTCCTTATCATGTCAAATGCCCTGTTAAGAACTCTTTTAGCACCAAAATATCTCCGTTACATAGACCATGTCAGAGATGAAATTTTTGTTTTGTCTATTTATTTGAATGTGGTCTGTTTCCTCCATCTCCTCTCTATAACTCCATGATGACAGGTACCAATGAGGATTTCATCGAGGATACAGTCCCAGTGTTTTGACACAGGACTGGCACATGGAAAACATAAAATACACTTATGTTGAATGAAAGAATTAATGTTTTTAAACCCTTGTCCACATTCTAGCAAGTCCTGGCTCTCCCTTCAATATCATTTTTTCCTAGATTTATAATTTTGAGGATCAACAAAGTTCTGTATACCCTCATGATTTTTTCCTCTACTTTGACTCTCATATTATGGGTAATCCTTTTTAATTCAAGAATCCTAGTTCAAGAAATAGATTGTTAGGATAATGAGATAGTTGAAGAACAATGTCATGCACTATAAAAACAACCACGCCATATTAACAGGGCATGGGCTGTAGTCTAAAATTTGACTTATGTGCTCTGTCCCTTGTTCCTTGTTCTTGCTTGTGTGTAAAATAGGATTAATAATGCAGTATTTGCTTTGTACATCATGCTGGATGATTTTATGTATAAAAATAAGATAATTCCCAATATTGTTGTCACTCTGCTATCTATTAAACTGTGTATATTTATCAAAATATAGCCAAGAAAAGACGCAACAAAGTATGAATAGTTCTTGTTATTGTATGTTTAGAGCTCTTTCTGTAATACAAGCAAAATTCAAATAGGCTTAAGGAAGAAGAATCTGTTAGCTCACACAAACTGAAAATTTCAAAAGCAGTTCAGGTACATCTGGATTAAAAGGCTTAAATGTTGTCCTGAGTCCTTTGGTTTTACCTTTACTCTGCTTCCATTTTTGTTAGCTTTAGTCTCAGGTGGGATCACATGTCATAGCCAGTATGGCTATACATGGCTATACATCTTTCTCAGTTTCTGCCTCGAATGTCCCAGTATCCATTGGTCTGTCCTGTCTCATATATTATTCCCTGAGCCAATCATTTTGACATTTGATTAGTTATGCCTGAGGCAAAATCCCCCTTTTTTGACTAAATGGTAGGGTTAATCATATTCACATATGGACTGAATTGGGGGTAGAGAAGGAAGGAAGTTAGAGGTTTTATTGGAAAAGAATGCACTCTTTGGGAGAAAGGGATACTAGAAAGGCAAAATATGTCTACCACAATATTTATCTTGGTACTGGGTTTACCTGTAATCTGTTATGCACCTTTTGCTTCTCCGTATTTTTAAATAATTCTTCAATAGCCATGTAGTGCATGAATAATAACAAAAATACAAATGAGATGCTGTACACAATAGTGTACTCTAAACTCTAGGGATCTATATAATGCAAGAGATCATTATGATTGACTGATTTTTTTTCAAATAGTAGAAATAGGATAAGAAAAAGCATCAACCAAAACATCTTCAATCCCCAGCATTTTAGAATAATTGAGAATGTTCCTGTAATTTTTAAAAAATGTGCCTGATCTAAGGAAATAATTTGAAAGGTTTTTTTTTTTTTTTTTTTTTCTAGCGTAAATCAGTTGTTGCTTCTAAAGGAAGATTTTGTCTATTTACTTTGAATGCCAGTGAATAACCGTGGCTCCTTATGAAAACTCAGCACCTATGTCTCTTTGTACTTTATGGCTTAAGAGAATATTTTCTCATTTTTCCATTTTTGAATCATGTTCCGTTATTTTATCTCTAGCATTTCAGACGGTCAGTAAATTGGACCTATACATGGATCTCCGAGTTGATGGAGTCTCTTGCTAAAAAGTGGCTCACAATGGTATCATTTGACTTTCAACAGGGTTCCATGAGTGCGTTCTATTGAGCCAATCATACTGAGAGAAACAATCTAAATAATTGTCTTCAACTGAAACTTACTGTGATTTTTATTTTCTCGCCCCCGCATCTTTCACAGTTCTTCAAAGGAGTCAGCTATAGTAGGGTTCTGCGTATGATCAATTTTCTTAGGTCAGGTTACCCAGGAAACAGAGTCTGAGGCAGAGATTTGCAGGCAGGAGGTGGTGTGCTGGGGAGTGCCCCTGGAATACCACCTACAAGGGAGTAATGAAGTAAGATTCCACAGAGGGAAACATTACATTGTGATGTGGTTGGAACAGAGGCCATCAGCTGACCCTACAGGTAGCTATGGAGCTGCAATGACCCTTCAGAATTGTCCCAGATGGAGGCAATGCAGCTGCGCTTTTGTACTCCAACAGAAACCAGTGTGGGCTGCCTCTGGGAAAAACACACGATGTGGGTAAGGCAGCTCCTTTTGAACCAATGCCATTCTTTGTTGTTTTATTCTTTTTCCATTTTTCCTCAATCCAATTTCATAACCTCATTTTTAAAATCAATGTTTAATTTTTGTGAATATGTAGTAGGTGTATATAATTATGGGGTACATGAGATATTTTGATACAGGCGTATAAGGCATAATACTCACATGAGGGTAAATGGAGTATCCACCCCCTCAAGCATTTATCTTTTGTCTTAAAAATAATCCAATTATACTTTTTAGTTATTTGTAAATGTACAATTAAACTTTTATTGACTATAGTCACCCTGTTGTGCTATCAAATATTAGACCTTATTCTTTCTAACTACTTTTTTTTTTTGTAGCCATTAACCATCCCCACTTCCCTCCCTCCCAGCCCACTACCCTTCCCAGCCTCTGGTAACCATCCTTTTACTTAATTAGTGCCATTTGTAAAGGGGACTCACCTGTAAGCCTTCAGGAACCAACATTCCTGGTAAATGGAGGAGTACCTCTGTAAGCACAACACAGCTTTTGCTACATATGTCTGTTGAATTTATAGTTCTATTTAGACATTGAAACAAAAATAACATTTGAGTAATCTGAATAACTAGAGCAAAAATCTAATTAAAGGCTTTACTGTTTGTATTTAGCTATTAAAATTAGTTTAATTTTCTAGGACGAATTTAGTTACATTTTTTCAATCTTTTAATTCATTCCTAAAGATTCCATTTTTCCAGTATTTTTTTTTTCTTCAGCCTGTAGAACTTTCTTAAATTCTTACAGTTTAGCTGATCTGGCAACTAATTGTCTTTGTTGTTCTTTGATTTGAAAATGCTTTTATTTCCCATCCATTCCCAAGGTATATTTTTGCTGAATATACAATCTGAGTTGAAAAGTTTATCTGTTTGTTTGTATGTTTTTCCTGTCATACTTTAAAGACTTTGTGACACTGACTATTGGTCTTGATAGATTTTGATGAGAAATTCACAGCTATTCAAATTGTTATTTCCCTCTGTGTAATATATTAGTTTTGTCTGTAATGTCATTTTTTGTAGTTTATTATGTGTCTAACCATGGTTTTCTTAGAATTTATCCTATTTGGAATTTATTAAGCTTTGAGATTCTGTAAATTTTTGTATCTCACCAAATTTAGGATATTTTCAGGTATATTTCTTCAAATACATATCTGGTTCTGTGAAGAATGATGGCGGTATTTTGATGGAAATTGCATTGAATTTGTAGATTGGTTTTGGCAGTATGGTCATTTTCACAATATTGATTCTACCCATCCATGAGCATGGGATGTGTTTCCATTTGTTTGTGTTGTCTCTGATTTATTTCAGCAGTGTTTTGTAGTTTTTCTTGTAGAGGTCTTTCACTCCTTGGTTAGGTATTTTCCTAAGTATTTCATTTTTTTGTAGCTATTGTAAAAGGAGCTGAGATCTTGATTTGATTCTCAGCTTGGTCGCCATTGGTGTATAGGAGAACAATCCTAAAATTCATATGGAACCAAAAAACAGCCTGCATAGCCAAAACAAGACTAAGCAAAAAGAACAAATGTGGAGACATCACATTGCCTGATTTCAAACTATGTGAGGCCATAGTCAGCAGAACAGCATGGTACTGGTATAAAAATAGGCAAATAAACCAACGGAACAGAAAATAGAGAACCCAGAAATAAACCAAAATATTTGCAGCCAACTGATCTTTGACAAAGCAAACAAAAACATGAAGTGGGGAAAGGACACCCTATTCAACAAATGGTTCTGGGATAATTGGCAAGCACATGTAGGAGAATGAAACTGGATCCTTGTCTCTCACCTTATACAAAATCAACTCAAGATGGATCAAGGACTTAAATCTAAGACCTGATACTATAAGAATTCTAGAAGATAACATCAGAAAAATTGTTTTAGACATTGGCCTAGGCAAGGTTTTCATGACCAAAAACCCAAAAGCAAATGCAGTAAAAACAAAGCTGAGTACCTGGGACTTAATTAAATTAAATAGCTTTTGCATGGCAAAAGGAACAGTCAGCAGAATAAACAGACAATCCACAGAGTGGGAGAAAATTTTCACAATCTATACGTCAGACAAAGGCCTAATATCCAGAATCTACAACTAACTCCAACAAATTAGCAAGAAAAAGACAAACGATCCTATCAAAAAGTGGGCCAAGGATGTGAGTAGGCAATTCTCAAAAGAAGATTACAAATGGCCAATAAACATATGAAAAAATGCTCAGCCTAACTAATGATCAGGGAAATGCAAACGAAACCGCAACTCGATACCACCTTACTCCAGCAAGAATGACCATAATCAAAAATCAAAAATAACAGATGTTGGGGTTGATGTGGTGAACATGGAACACTTCTACACTGCTGGTGGGAATGTAAGCTAATAAAACCACTATGGAAACAGTGTGGAGATCCCTTAAAGAACTAAAAGTAGAGCTACCATTTGATCCAGCAATACCACTACTGGGTATCTACCTAGAGGCAAAATATCAGTATACTAAAACGATACTTGCACACGTATGTTTTTAGCAGCACAGTTCGCAAATGCAAAAATGTGGAGCCAACCCAAATGCCCATCAATCAACGAGTGGATAAATAAACTGTATATGTGATGGAATACTGCTGAGCCATAAAAAGGAATGAATTAATAGCATTTGCAGCAACCTGGATGGGATTGGAGACTATTATTTTAAGTGAAGTAACTCAGGAATGGAAAAGCAAACATCATACGTTCTCACTTTTAACTGGGATCTAAACTATGAAGATGCAAAGGCATAAGACTGACACAATGGAGTTTGAGGACTTGGGGGAAAGGGTGGGAAGTGGGTGAGGGGTAAAAGACTACAAATTGGTTCCAATGTGATGGGTTCACCTAAATCTCACAAATCACCACTACAGAACTTACCCATGTAACCAAATATTACCTATTCCCCAAAAACCTATGGAAATATAAAATTTTAAAAAAGAAAGATAAAAAAAATACAGTTCTGCCCTAATCACTTCATTCTCTCTTTTCGGGACTCCAATATCACTTACTTTAGACTTTTTACTATTGTTCCAAAGGTCCCTTAGTCTTGTTCAAGTTTTTAATTAACTTTTTTTCTGTTCTTGAACTGTGGAAATTCTATTGATCTATCTTCAAGTTTACTGACATTTTTGTCTGTAATATGTATACTGTTATTGAGCTTTCCCACTAAACCTCGTATTTAAGATACTGTATTTTCATTGGGTTGTTTTTTTTTTAATATTTTTATTTTTCTGCTGATGTTTCCCATCTTTTTATGCATTTTAGATGTATTCATTATAAATGATAATAGATAGTCATAATAGCTTCTTTAAATTCTTGTCTGATAATTTCACAATCTGGGCATTGTGTGATTCACAACTGTTGATTGTTTTTTCACTTAAAAGTAGGTTGCATTTTCCTAGGTTTTTCAATGTCAATTAATTTGGGGTTGTATCCTTGTTATTGTTAATGTTGCATTGTATAGACTCTGATTTCTTTTATAATCCTCTAGGGGATGTGGATGTTTTTGTTTTAGGAGGCAATCGATCTGGTTACATTCTGACTGTAAGACCTGTCTGGTTTTGTGGGTGGTGGTTTAAATCTCAATTCAGTTCTTTAAGCCTTTGCTATGCTAGTTTCAGAGGCAAAGCTAAGCATCATTTAATCAGAGCATCTTGTTTTATTCTAAGTAAGTTAAACTCAAGAATTTCATTTTTCCTTATCATTAAGCAATGTCAATAATTATCAATTTAAAATGGAAATAACCTAACTAAAAAACTGGGATGGGATATATCAATTAACTGAAAACCTTGCCTGTTATAGATTTACAACAGAGGACATATTTTTTGAAAGCAGATTTGTTGCATACAAATTTACTTTTTAAGATGATGTGTCCAGCTTCTTGATGATAACAGAAATAATTTATTTCAGGAGGAAGATGGTATCAAATAAGGCTTTGAATTATTGATATCAGTTTTATATTTGATGATATATAATGTTAGTAAGCAATTTTTAAAAGGCATAAATAGTTAAGAATTCTACAATAATAAAAGGAAAATCAGACAACTGAGATTAACCAAGAGAATAACTACACGTTATAATTATAACTCATGATTTGAAAATAATTTTAATTAATGTATTCATAAGTTAAGTGACACAATGGGAAATTTAACAGAGAACTGGAAAATTTTAAAATTCACAATTATTAAACATACAAGTGAAATAACTGAAATTAAGATCTCAGTGGTTGAGTTTTAATAAACTGAATGACTGAGTTTAATTACCAGATTATACAAAATTTTAAAAAGTAAATAAATTGAAAGTAAGGTCAAATAAAATATACAGACAGAAGCAAGGAGCTTCAAAAGGATGGAACATATGGAGAATAACATAATGGAAACTAAGAATGTAGGTAGCACAAATGTCAAGTAATATGTAATTGAACTCCTAAGCAGAGGAAAGAGTAAATTGGGTGGAAGGCAGAGTTGAGAAGAGTGTAACTGAAATGTTTCTTAACTACTTTAAAAATTCAAGGTAGAGATTTAAGAAGTCCTATAAAACCCAAGCAGCATAGATAGAAAAAATATGCTGAGGAATGCCACTATGAAATTGCTGAAAGCAAAAGATACATAATAAATATTAAAAGCAGCCAGATAGCTACAGATTCAGCTAAATCTGTATCAAAATGCCTTCTCTTTCAAAGAAATATACGAGCTGATCCTAAAATTAAAAAGGAAATGCA